TAAATAATGAATTTAATAAAATTAATATTTAATAATGATTATTATAATTATAAATACATATAATTATATTCTTATAAAATTATGTTTAGAAATTAATTAAATTTTGAATTATAGGCATTAAATATATATATATATATTCAATTTACATATATACCAAAAAAAGAAAAAAATACATATTATGTTTGTTTTATATATATAGGAAGACAATCGAATATTTTATTTTATTTTTTTGATTGTATGATATTGATTCTTTATAAATTATTGTGTTTTGTGAAATTATATATTGTATATGGCTTAACATGAATTATATATTTGAATGTAAACCTATTGAAATTCGATTTATTTATGAATATTATTGATGATGGATAGTAATGCAAAATGGTTTGATTTAGATTATTTATAATAGTTTGAAATTTATTCCTAAATATATTAAATGCATATTTGATTTGTCTAGGATTTATATATCTTGATTGAAATGAAGAAATTTAAAATATTGAATTTGATATGGAATATGTTTTGTTTGGTTGTTTTTGGTTTATATGTTATAATTATATTTATTTGGATTAATCTATAATTAAATATTAGTATTTGATAAAAATTATATTTAATTTATATTCATTATTTATTTATTTATATATATTTATAAGTTCCAAATATATATATATTTGATAACTATTAATTATAATATTATATATATTCAATTTTGAGGAGAATGAAAGCTAAGACGTGCCTACGCCCATATATTAGCTAAAAATTGATTTAATATTAATTAAATATACTTAAGAAGATAATTAAAAATAAGGAACAGAACCGTATTTTGGTGTATATCCAAAACACATACAAAAGTATCCCACAAAAATCCCAAAGATGTGTTAAATTGTAAAAAAAAATAGAATTGAAATTGTATAATAGGTTTAGATTCTTATTGGTTTTTTATTTGAATTTTATTATGGATTCTTTATTTGTTTGAATTCTTGAACCCCCTTTTTCTTTACTATTAATTCCTCCCCTATCCGGCTTTAAATATTTATTCTTTTATATATATATAAATAATGTATTTTCATTTTCAGATCAATTATGTGCAATAATGTATTTATAACAAAATTTCTTTGTCTATCCGGTTATCGAATATATATATATATATATTCATATAATTCTTGAAAATATGTCTAATAAATTGTTTATTCCAAATAGAATTTCACCAATATAGACCCCAAATAATGAAAACCATGCCTGACTATTGTGTTCCAACGCCTCCAAAAGCACCTCCCGAAATAACACTTGGCCACGCAATCACAAACACCTCCAACAAGAACCCAAGCAGCATCCAAATTGCATCCCCCCTTGCACCCTCGTCAAGCTCGACAAAAATGCACTCGCACCAACACCCACAAACAGCATTCCCAAAGCATTAATGGCAAAATTCCCACACCGTCACCAGCATTTCAAACAGCACCCCAAACAGCATCCCAAAACAACACCCCAAACTGCGTGCCCCCTTACACCCCACCGTCAATTTCGCAAAATGCGCCCTCGCCGACCAGCACCTTAAACATCACACATCCCAAAACACCACCTGCACCAGCTGCATCACCCAGCTGCCCCAAAACTGTATCAATTCCACAAATTGCATCGACTTACGACCATCAATCTTGCAAGAATGTGATTGCACCATCTCCAGCATCTCAAATAGCACCCCTGCACCATCACCAGCATCTCAAACAGCAACCTGCATCATCACCAACATCTCAAACAGCACCCTGCACCATCACCAGCATCTTAAACAGCAACCTGCATCATCACCAACATCTCAAACAGCAACCTGCACCATCACCAGCACCTCAAACAACACCCTTAAATTGAATGCCCCCCCGCTGTCCATCAGCGCCTTAGACAGCACAGGCACCAACACCTAAATCAGTACCGCAACCCGACCATCAATCTCGCAAAACGGCACTTCCACCAGCACCCAAATTGCATGCTCCCTACTACCCCGCCATCAATCTCGCAAAGCACCACCAATGTCCCAAATTGCGTGCCCCCTTCCTTGCCCCCCGATCAATTTCGCAAAGCAATAATATTCAGATTGCATGCCCCCTAATATTCAACCGTCAAGCTCGCAAAACAATACCTCCATTAGTACCCCAAACTACATATTCCCCAACACCGGACCCTTCAATCTCGTAAATGATTTTCCCTTCTTTATTAGAAAATTACATCCCTATAATATTATTATATTGAAATTTAATTAACATTATATTAAAATATAATATATTTAATGAATAAACAAGATAATTTATTATATTCCACAATTATTTATCTAAATATCCAATATGTCCCAAATAATTATTATATCCTAATTATCAAATTATATTTATTACAATGTTTAAAAATATATTTATTCACAAAAAATAATACTATTATTTTTTTATTTTATAAATTAATATACATATTAAATAATTTAGTCATAAAACCATATTCAATATAATTTAATATGTTT